CACCATTTGGGAAACCCTATGTTGATATGAAATACAATTTTGGTCGCTTTACCATAGACACTATTGCCTCTTGCGCCTTTGGCATCGAGTGCAATTCACTTGTAGACGAAGACGCCGAATTCCCCAAAAAAGCTGACAAATTTTTCGAAGCAACTCCTTTCGATATTCTAAAATTCTTATTTATGAATACGTTACCTAGCCTAGCAAAGTTGCTCAACCTCCGGTTCACTCATCCTGAAGCTGATTTCCTGGAGGAAGTTGTAAGACACACAATAAAGCAAAGAATGAAAGGAGAAAGACGTGGGGATTTCCTGGACTTACTCTTGGAAGCTCGCAATTCTGATGGCGCCGCCAAGGAAGTGAAGGAAACTGGAGTTGATAGTACTACCAAGTCAAAATATCGTAAGTACTGGGTTCATAACTTTCTATTCTCATACCAAATATTGCAAGATGTTATTTCACCATAATATCGGCATTAGAGAAAGGAAAACAGCCACAATAATAAATGAAAATAATGCTTTGCGTTTCGAAATCTTCACAAATTACTGTTCAGACGAATAATCAACCGAAATAGACCATTTCTGTGTACACGTTATTGTGTTTACATTAGTAATCTGGTCTGGATCTCCCAAACAGTGCTGGATGACATCACCATCGCCTCCCAGTGCATGTTGTTCCTCATTGCTGGCTATGAAACCACAGCTGCTACCCTAAGCTTTGCTGCCTTTCAGTTGGCTAAGAATCCAAGTGCACAAGAAAAACTCCGTCAAGAGATCCAAGATTTGGTTCATGAAGAAGGTGATATTACTTACCAAGGGGTCATGGAAGCTAAATACCTCGATGCATGTTTGATGGGTAAGTTCCAACAGTCAACTGAATTCTGCATTTTTCTGTTACAGTGACAATAATAAGTTGCCAATGAAAAGCATTTAGGTCTCTGAAATGCGACAGTACACAGTAAACATAGTTATAGCGAGAAAAAAACAAACAATTTTTCCATTTGTTTATTACCGAGTTTTGAATACTCTATTTTTGTCAGATAAGCACATGGGCACACGAATCTAAACTTTTCCTTTTTTACTTTGCTTTCAACAATATACTGAAATATCTTAAATGGTTGGTTTGAAGTAAATGTGAGAATAATTATACTTGTGAAATAAAATTGATTTTTGGAATGCGCCCGTAACTGGTGTACTGTTATTAATTGATGAATATTTGAAAAATATTAAGGAATAAAAGGAATACATAATCGTCACATAGTATTAATAATCAGTGATGAAATCATTCAGTAACATTTCATTATCTCCACATTTTCTGTTTTTCTCTGCATGTGCACATGTACAGCTACACAGAAAATCATCGTTAGGTGTTGAAACATTCAGTAACAAATAAAACCTTATGTTACAGAAGGGTTGGTATTTTAGGTTTTAATTGGTCTTGTTCTGATTCATGTCTCGAATAGTTGTTCCAGAATTTATATGGATTCACTGCGAGATGATTTTTTATCCGAAAGGGATGGAATATGCCTTGCAATATTCAGATTAGCCACACACGCCTAAAAGTAGTTGGAAAATCAGAGTATAAACAGTTTTGTTGCGTTAACAACTTTATTTCAAAAGGTTTCGTTTCTTGCATGATTTTCTAACAATATTTTTCTGTGTAACTACATGTGTGTGTGTGTGTGTGTCTCTGCCCCTGCTCTGGTCTCCCTGTCTCTGTCTCTCTCTATAGATGTATAGATATACTATATATATGTATAGTATATATATATAGATATATACATATACATTTATTCAACAGAAACACTACGCCTGTTTCCTCCCGCACCAGTTCTAGAACGAATATGCACACGTGACTATCGGTAAGTAGCAATGCTAAAATCCGTGAATTCCACAACTAGAAAATACAAGTTAACGTTGCCATTGTAGGGCAATGAAATTTCTGTCATGCAATAATTATAGCTAATTAGGTATTCCATGGATGTTTTTGGTACTGCTGGAAAGTAACTCAGATGCTCAAAACTAAAATGCCAACACTTCCTTATGAATCATATTCTCATTTTCATATCATGTACCATTTTTCAAAATTGGGCTAGCTTCGAATGAGTAGTGTCGAAATGGTTTGATGAATAACAATTATATTGCTTTCATATGTATATGGGTGAGCAGATAGTGGGGTAATAGTTCCCAGAAAATGCGAAAATAGTTTGTGGGTGGCTGTGATAGTCTGGGAATGCCGTTAGTTATTGCAATGGCAATGATCTCTTGTTAGGTTATCTCTAACGTTTATTTTCCCACGCTTACTAATACCTTGGCACCGCAGGCTTCCTGGCACTGACCTGACGATCAAGGCTGGTGACAAAATACAGTGCCCTGTCTGGAGTATCCACCACGACCCTAAGTACTGGCCTGAGCCAAATGAGTTTCGTCCGGAGCGCTTTTTGCCCGAGAACAGGGCCAGCATGAAGAACTTCGCCCACATGCCTTTTGGAATAGGACCCAGGAACTGCCTTGGTGAGTCTTTAGGATTTTGAACTGTGTAAGGAGGGGAAAGAAAGAATCTGATTAGCTTGTATACATTTGCAAGATTTGATATGTTTTTATGGAATCATATTTTTCCAGCCATGAGGTTTGCCCTAATGGAAGCCAAGGTTGTCTTGTCGAAACTGTTGCTTGCGGGAGAGCTGCACCCTGCACCAGGACACGAAGAAATCGTGCTGGAGCCTGGAATCTTTGGTATCATTAGGACCAAGGGTGGAGTCAATGTTACCCTGAAGGCACTCTAGAATTAAAGAAATGGACGTCGGATCCTCAGAGCTGTGTAAAAGAAACAACTTCCACTGCCATTTAAGTACGGTGCTGGTCCTGCACTGCAACTCTTATATACATAGTTCCTTTTCTCTCTTTCGCTTGGTAGACGTCATGTCAAATCACAGTGAAAGAACTTTTTCTTTTAAAGAATACCTAGAATTGATTCACTATATAATGAAAAATTGTTCAACTCGTGATAACATATTAACAGTAAAATAAAATGAATGCTTCATAAATGTTATCCAGAGCCCAACTATACATTATATGTATAAAATATTCAACTGCATTTAGCCATTAGAGTCATGTGTGAATGAATGAGTCTAGGGACACTGTTCCCTTTACTATTCTTAAGTAATATATACCTCCTTTCGCTCAACGTGTAGTGCACTGTGAACAGTGTATTTGATTTATATTATTGGGTGTTTGTAGTTTTGCCGATTAAGTAGAAAGGTAACAATTTAACAGCGTAATAGAGTCATCATTTACCATGTGAAATAGAAGTCATCATTTAACAAGCAAAGTGGAGACCTGAATAGTTATTAATGAACAAGAGTTCATAGGTTCTCTAAACCGCCAGGAAGGAGAATTTGATTAATCATTTGAATTCCAGAACCTACAAAAGATGCAACATGTTACTAACATTTTCAATCAGGGAAAAGGGTATAAATATGACATAAGACCAAAAAAGCAACACGACATCGTGACTATAATTAATAAGGTTTGGGTAAGGCTGTCCTGTTACTTTCAGAAGCCACGACAGTCTTCCATAGCTAATCGCTGATTGGATTATTTACAGTATTCGTTTTATTATTCATACTTTTTTATAATCAGTAATAATCTGTATAAACGTTGAAAATTGGGAACGTAAGAAGATAGCATTTAAGAGCATTTACATTTCCGAAAGAACGTTAATAGGTTGAGGTCAAGATACTAAAATGTTCGAATCTAGTCTTATATTTTTTATTTAAAAATAAGAAAGAAACAACCAGTCATTGAGGTCAAAATATTATGATGTTCAAATCTAGTCTCGTCATATTTTTTACTTTAAAAAATCATGACACAATTCCAATAAGATTATTATATCCTCCACATATCCGACTTCGAATAGTATATATATACACATCTATACATCTCTTTAAAATGCTAATACATTTAAACAGTCTCTCAGAAGAACTGGTTAATCATCAGTACATTCATAATGCATTAAACACAAAATTGAAATTACTCCTTTTTCATTTCCGGAAGGAAGCTGTTTTCTAGTTGTTATTGCGAATGTTGACGACTTTCGTTTGTGTGAATTGTCTATATCAATTAACATTACTCTAGGCCAGGTATAGCAGCCTAGAGTATACACGGGGTTGTTATAGGCTAATAATGATAATAATTAAACCTATGTGTATATTGTTTATACATATACACATATGTTAGGCTAGATAAGTTTATTCCCCCAGGTATAGAATGGTCTTGGCTACAGTATATCCCATTCCTTTTTCATGTAAAAAGTATATTACTATATTGCCAGAAGATAGCAGTGGGTGTTGATGCAGATCATGCAGTGATATCGCAACTATAGATATTTCTTGTACATGTAATTCTACAGACCCCAAAATATTTAACTTGAATTTAAATATATATTCACACGGGCTACCTTGCAGAAGCATTCTATCATAAATCCTTTTATTAACCGTAAAGGCCAACATATTTCGATTTTTTTATATGCATATCTTTGTTGTTTATACTCTGGACAAGAATTCACTTTATTATGGTCAGAATTCAATATTACTTTTCTTTTGTCAATTTGTGACTCATCACAAATTTGTTTAGTCAGTTTGTAATAATAATTACAACAATAACTACATTTAGATTAGTGATATATATATATATATATATATATATATATATATATATATATATATTTGTGTGTGTGGTATTCTGTAGTGTTCAATCGTGTCGCTGTTTCTTTGTAGATTATGTTTATATGTGCAAATGCTCAGAATGCGCAGTGTAAATATCACTGTAAGGTTGGCCATACCTCTTTGTTAGATTAAGATATTTAATACACTGCGCGAAATCAGATTTGGTGATGGTAAGAATTTGTTAAACATGAATTCAAAGACATGTTAGAAAATAAGGTACATAAATATTTTTTACGTTAAAGGAATGTAAATTATTGTTTACATTAGAACCATTCAAAGGAGCAGAGAATTGCTTTACCTTAAAAAGACAACTTGATGGCTCTTTTTATTGGTCTAATGTCTACAAATTTTGTTTAAAGATTGATCATTAAAATCATTTTTGAATACTGTGTTAGTTTGCTTATTACGATTCCAGACCTGGAAGTGCACGAGGTTCCTGCAAACACGTCATTGTTTTTCTGGTGTGTATGTATATATATATATATATAATATATATATATATATATGTATATATATATATATATATATATATATATATACATATATACATATATACACTTACCCACATGCATATATGTACAGCCAGCAACAAAAGCGGTGACGCCTCGTCAGTCCTGGCTCGGTGAGATCATGCCCTTCTTACCCTGAAAGGAGGCCCACCTTCAAACAACTAGGGCATAGTTAGGATGGTTCAAATGTGAGGAGGTGGGAAAGTACGGAAATCAGGCGAAGAAGTGCAATAATGACGGAAATATACATGGAGAGAGAGAGAGGGGGGTCGCTTTTATTTGTTTACTTGTTAATTTGATGGATATATTAGAAACCTGCCTCAAGAAACAAATTATCGTATATTTCTCGAAGATGATTATCAGAAATCTTATCACATCGTTTTATTGAATTATCTTATAATATTTTCTATAAAAAAAACTTAAACAGCGCTGGAACTGACTATTCATATTGATATTCGTCAGACGGAAATATCCTCCATATATTTATGAAGGATGTATATTAATATATGGCTTTGCATTATCTCTACTCTCTCTCTCATTTCGTCTTGTATCACCTGGATCCGCTATTTAGATAATGGTAGACTTTTGATATGTTATTTGGAAAAGAACAGATGACATTAGTCCATACGCCATTATATTTCCAAATGTTTACAATTATTTCATTACCAAAAATAACGAAATGAATATGTAAAAGACGGATATCGAAAGCAATGGGTTTCTTGAATAGTTTGGAGGGGAAACATCGACAAGGTGTTGGACACCAACCGCTGAAACGACAAATAAAGGCCTACAGTCAAGGCTGACGGAATATCCCCTTAGCCTTGGGTAGAGTGAAGCTTGACTCGGCCCTTCGCGGGTGAGTGAGCAAGCGTGAACTGGGAAAGGGGTTCGCTGGGAAGTGCCCTGTCTGTCCAGGTCTAAAGAGTGTCAATTAATAATTTGACACTATATGGTAATAGTATAAGTTTCGCAACACTTGCATCCTGTATACCCCACCATCCTTATATTAATACACCGCTGCACACATTCACTGCATTTCATTTTACACCATTCAATTGCACTAACAGTTTCGGAAATAATATAATGAATTAAGTTGACTGACGATGCACTGTAAATCAATTTGTATCAAACTTAATGCTGATATAATAGACATTAATACTTTCAGTAAGTATTGATTGCGAGGGCGGAGCCAAGTAGCCCATCACGCTCAAGTTGACCCCAACCAAACCGTGCTTTGCGATTCATGGTCGTGGTTCGTAGGAGAAACACAAACGAAATAAAAGGAAAACGGAATCGATACCTACACCTTTACACCCCATTACCCTCGAAGTTTTGCGGCCAAAGCCATTTATTAATGTTTGGTAGCTCAAGGGGCGCTTTTTGACACGATACATTATTCATACCCACAAATATTACTCACAATGTGTATGTGTGCGTGTGTGTGTGTGTGTGTGTGTGTGAGAGAGAGAGAGAGAGAGAGAGAGAGAGATTGAGAGAGAGAGAGAGAGAGAGAGAGAAGGGTGGGGGTACAGACACTAGCCTCGATAAGATGGAACTGAAACATAGCCGAACACTCACTCCTTGCTTTGCCTAGCGAATCTAAATCACCCCCTCCCCCCTTTCCTATGTCCAGGTTGTTTGAACGTGGGCCACCTCTCAGGGCAAGAAGAGCGAGATCTCTCCAAGCCATATCTGGCGAGGCGACATCGCTTTTGTTGTTGGGTGTACACATGTGCGTGTGTTTATTTTGACTTGTCGCTTAACACGAGTCCAAGAGATGCTCTACATTCACAACTTTTATAAGAAAACGTCACATGAATATCTAATATACCAAATGCAATTTACAAAGCACACTACCACAAACAAATTAAACAATCAAATGCATTTGAGATTTATTTATAGGCGATAAGAGAAATGCCAATCAACATGACTGGTAAAAACTGCAGCAGTGTATTATCACTGGTCGACTTCAGTCCTTAGTTAGATACTGAGCCTAAGACTGCACGCGTTTCCCCAAAGCCACAGCCCAAGGTAATGCTATGCGTATATATTTATATGTGTATCACTGCACGGGAAACTTTCTGGTATGTCATCCCCTGAAAGTATGAGAGGAATTTAATGTCTGGAAGAGAGGTAGGAGTCATGCTTGCATTTACGTGCCCGTGTGTGTATTTTTTTTTTCTCAGTTTAAGTATCTGTCTAAACACGCACACATACATACATACACACATTGACGCAAACAAACACATAATTTGGAATGTGAGATGAAAGTGTTGCAATCAAAGTTAACTAACAAGTAAGAACTTACTTCCTGAGTATTTACTTACATACATACTTATTTACGTGACAGAGGGTTATGATCTTAAAATAGAATTATAAGCCGTTGATTACACTATCATCGCGATATGATGCAGTCAAATGCACTTTAAACAGATAACAGTATTTCTCAGTATTTTCCTTCTAAGGCTAGTCTGTGCCCGTTTTCTTCTTACTGTAAGTAGATGACTCGATTAAAAATATCGGATATTAGGACAAAATTATAATTCACGTATCTACATCCGCATAAACATTACACTGTGTATTAAGAACAATTTTCGTACAGGAAATGTGGTGATATCCTCGAATATCTCAAGTTCTTGATGCAGACTAACCCCAGGTATTGTTTTGAAGTTAAAAAAAGGTAATTTTCTATATTACGTCCGCATAACCGATATCGACGATTTTGGTATCGTTGGATTCCTCTCACTCTATACAATGCAAATATGTAGGTTTTATTGCTCGGAAACCCCCCGTTAGCGGCAAACTTGGCCC